TGGCCGCTGCTGCCTTCCTCCCGCAGCCAACCCTCGCCGGCGACAGCGGTTTGGAGGGATGGTCTGGAATAACGGACACGCAGCCCTGCTTCCGGGTCTCCGCACGGCGCAGACGCAGTTCTCGTAGTAGCTCTTCTTCCCGTCAGTCGTGACGGCTCCTCCAACCCAGGAGACCCGAGTTTTGTTTTGTTTCTCTTTCTTCCCCTTGTGCATTTTTTGGGTGCCGGCATCTCTGGGATATTACCGTCAGCTTCCTGGTCGTCATCTGCCTGCCTCATGGCCATTTGGGAGCCACCTCTCCGGGCACGCCTGCCTGCTCAGCCGCTGCCCCCGAACTTGGCCAAGCCCTTGCGGCCCCGCGTTCCACACCCGGCTGTCGACAGACCTCGCGGACGCCACGCCGCCGGCGTGTGAAGGCGTTCTCCTTGTCTTCTCTGCCATCCTTTTCGATTTGCTCTGGGAAGAAAGTGTCAAAGATCTGGTAGACCAGCTTGGAGGTGGTGGTGGCCTTCGTGGGTCCTTTGTCCTTCTCCCCGGCAGAGGGCCTGATGGTCTGACGCCCCTCGGCTCGCGCCTGTCTCAGCGTGGCCCCAGCCAGCTTCATCAGGGCCTCGCGCAGCGGCTCGGGGAGATGGGCTGCTCGCCACTGTCCCCGGCCTCACCCTAACTCTCCACTTGCTCCACCACAAATCGCGCGTGTCGCAGGAGGGAATCCTCTGAGAAGCGCTTCAGGTTGAGTCCGGAAGGAGGAACAGTGGTCTCGATCTTGTAGATCAGGTCCTCGTAGTAGAGTCAGGATTGCTCTGCAGGAACTCGACCAGGGTCTCTCTCGTGTAGATCTTCTCCTGCATCAGCCTGAAGATCGGCGCCAACTCGGGGCTGGGGTCCGTCAGAATATACTGGGCAAACGAGGTGCTGAAGCCGATGAGAGCCTTTTCACTTCCATCAAAGCCAGTGATCCCACCACTCATTGATGGGATTAAAACTAAAATTTTTTTTAATTTAATTTTTAAAAATATTTATTTATTTTTTTATTTGAAGGATATACAGAAGTAAAAGTCTATTTATTCTTCCGAGAAAGAAAGAGGGAGAAACACAGAGAGAGGTTGAAGGAGGGAGTGGCCATGGCACACAGAGGAAGGAAGGAAGTGCCAGGCAGCTGAGGGAAAGTTGCTTGCAGTTTTAAAGGGTACAAATGGCTTTTTATCCTTCTGCTTCAACAGATTGATAGCATACAGAAGTGGTGGCGAAGCTGTTGCAGGTGCTCTTTGTTTTCTCTCTTTTCTCTGTGAGATGTCGGTTTATGTGAGTCCTTGGAATCTGGTTTTTGACAGGAACTGAGTCAGAGAGTTGGAGTGGGGAGTTCACACTCCTACTGTCCATGCAGGGCTCTTCAAGGCTCTGTAAGATCTTGGTTAGGTAAAGACTTAAAGGAAGGTTTCAGATGAGGGCCAGGTGGTTGAATGGAAGGATTATAAATGCCCTGGACTTCAACTGATGTTGTGAGAAGACTTTCAACCACATTTTGATGATCAGAAATCCTGTCCTCAAACACGGTTCTATTTTCTGCTCTCAACAGTACCACATTTTGCTTCTACATTTGTCATGGATTGCTGAGAAGCAGTCATTACCTTTGTTAATCTTGGCTGTGAAAGATTCTTGGTATCAACATCAAAGTCTTTAGGAGGTGATGTAGACCACAAATCATAAATATACAGTTTGTTGGAAATCCTGAAAACGGAGTCTTCAGTAATCTCATCCACTGATCACTATTTTGAGAAGGATTTTCCAGTATGTTTTCTTCTTTATGTTCTGAAACTTGTTGGGTAATACTATTAAAACCACTACCAAGAGTGTCATCTTCTACAGTCTGTCCCAAGACTTATAAGAAGACATATTAAAACTTTGCTGCAGAAGACTGATTATACGTGATGATTGAGAATCTGTTGCAAGCATGGGAGCATTTCTTTTCAACTTATCAACTGCATTTATGTTTGCTCCAGCCTTTATTAAAAAGTCCACCATTTCCTCTCCTTTTCGACTTATAGCAAGTAAAAGTGGTGTGACATGATTCTTGTTTTGGGGATTGATAAATGCACTGTTTGAGAGAAGTTTATCTGCTAATGGTAAATTCTTGTGATAAACAGCATAGTTAAGAGCAGTGTTACCATAAACATCCTTAAGATTTACATTGGCCTGACCATCCAGCAGTACGGTTACACATTCCTCTTCCTGGCATTGGATGGCCTTCATCAGAGCTGTCCTCCTTTTGCTGTCAAATAAGTTAAGTTGGCACTTTCTGTTTACTAGGAGTCTTACCACTTCTGCCTGGCCAGTGGCACAGGCCAAATGTAAAGCAGTCCTGCTCTTCCAATCTCTGTCATTCATGCATTATGGATTTAAGACAGGATGTTCTCAAGTTTCGATACCTCACCCAAGCAGACAGCCAGGTGGATTTCCTTAGCTCTTTCGGAAGGATGTGGTAGCAGGTCTTCGTGTAGGCCTTCTCAGGAATCTCATCCCTGGTGCCCACCACAGCCTTCCACATGCTGCCAATGGAGGGCGACTCACCTCGCCCTCCTTCTTCCTGAAGGTAAGGAACTTTTTCCTGGTGCCCGTTGGGGGCTTCCAGACACCTCACCTTCTCCACTCCCCCACCACCCACTTGCCCCGGTTCTCGCTACCCCCAGCCCAATCCAAGCCAGAGAACCCAGTCTGGCTACAAGCTTCAGGAAAGCCAGTCTCTGACACAAAGCAGAGCTGAGCCAAACCAAGCAGAGCCGACCTGAGCCCTTAGGCACAAGTGCATGGGAGCATCTCAGATTTATTATTATTATTATTGTTGTTGTTGTTATCAATTCTTTATGTAAGTAACAAGTTGGTTATGTTCACTCCATTGGACGTGGGGTTTTTTGGTTTGTTTGTTGTTGTTGTTGTTTTTTGGTACTGTAGAGTTTTATTCACAGTAATAAAAAAGCTGGTGTCAAAGTTCCTTAAATGATAAGAGACAAACCTTCCATGAAACCAAAAGCCCCCTGCATCAAGGATCAGTATCAAGTGACAGCCTCCACTCCAGCCTCACTAGGTGCCCTGCACCCACGACAGACCGATCCCTTGGACAGAGCCCTCACTCCAAAGAGGTTGGAATGCTAGGCTGGGAGGATTGACACCCCAAGGCTAGGCCAGCTTTCTGCCCTTCTTTGGTGCAGAGAAGGGCAGTAGCAGCTGAAGAGCTTCAAAGCATCCAAAGCAGAGCCCGGGACTGCGTGGATGCCGGGGTCTGTCCTGAAGCAGTGTACCTTCTCTCTCCCTCTGCCTCGACACTTCCCTGTCTCTCAGGCCCCAGGCTGCTCCCACCTCCTCCAGGAAGCCCTTCCTGACCCCTGGCAGGCTGAACCTTGCCGCTCTTCTGTCCTGTGGCGCCTGCCATCTGGTCTGAATCGTTGGGCACTTCCGCATCTGCCCTTCCACCTGGCTAGACGGGGGCCCCCAAGGGTTGTCCAGGTGGGGGTCTTTGCCTCTGCCCTCCAGCCGGAGGGCGGCTTAACGAAGGCAGGGCCAGTGTGCAGTTTGTTTCTTCCAATCTGCCCCTGGGGGCTTTGCAGAAAAGATGGCACAGGGGGAATAAAAAGATCTTGAGTAAAAAAACAAATAAACAAACAAACCCAGCTTCGTGCTGCTGCCCGCCTCAGCCCACAAGGCGGTGCCGCAGATGCCCGACACCTGGCTGGGCCGGCGGAGCTCGTGAAGCGAGCGTAGGAGCTGGCGAACACTGGCAAACTTGGAAAGACAGATCTATGCTTTTGAAGGAAACTACTTGGAAGACACTCAGATGTATGGCAATATTATTCGTGGCTGGGATCGATATCTGACCAACCAAAAAAACTCCAATAGCAAAAATGATAGAAGGAAGCAGGAGTTTAAGGAAGCTGAGTGGCTCTTCAGTAAATCTTCGGTTACATCAGCACCTGCAGGAAGTGCATTAGCAGGAGTTCAGGACCCGCGCATTGAAAAGAGAGAGCCAGGAAGTGGGACAGGAAGCGATGCTTCTCCAGACTTCAACAATCAGGAAAACGAGCCCAGCCAGGAGGATCCTGAGGATCTGGACGGATCTGTGCGGGGAGTGAGACCTCAGAAGGCTGCTGCCTCTACATCCTCAGGGAGTCGTCACAGCGGCCGTAACATACAAAAGAATAAAAACTGGCACAGGGTGGATATGAAGTTAAACAAAAAACCACAAGCGGACTATTAGAAGATGCATCAGTGCGGAAGCTTCCAGGCGGTAGAGCCCTGCTTTCCTTCTCCGACCTCACAAAGATAAATGTCCCTCACCTGAATGGATGGCCAGCGCCCTCTGCTCTCCCAGATGCAGTGCTTGTGACTCTTGAGTAGTTTGTTCTAAATGTGGTGCAAGTCATTTCTCTAAGACATTGGATCATTTACTTTGTCATTTTTAGTAACAGACTTGCAGGAAGACCAAGACATGGTTATAATCCCAGCAAATTGCTAACTGTGCATTCCCTTCTTAGAATGAATGTCTCCCCCCAAACTGGCTGGCTGGCACCGGCTTCATTTGTGATACCCATCAAGAAATGTTATTTGGTTTTATTTTATGCTGAAAGTAGAACACAAGTCACATTTCAGATGGAGGCTGTAAATATCTGGCATTTTCTTATTTGGTTTTGTGCTCTATTATTTTTCCATTGTTGTTTTTACCATCGTATTTTCTTCTGGGCCTTTTTTGTAATGCCTTTGTACAGCTAGTACCTTCCTGCTGGCATATCTGATTATCTTTTTCATGCAGTTGCCAATAGTCTTAACTGAAAATAATCAGGTTTATTATAAGTAAAATGGGAAACTTGGCTCTTTGGTTTTTCACAAGGGGAGGTAAAGAGAGTTTATTTAGAAATTACCTATCTTTAATCATTCTGAGTTGGAAGCAAGGAACAAGAAAAATGAAAGAACATAAGTTTCAATCAATCCTTTCTAAATATTTTTATTCTTTTGTGTAAATAAAATTAGGCTTTGACTTCTTCTTTACTTTTAAGCCTGTGATTGTTTTTCACTTAAAAAAATAAAAAAAGAGGCCTGCTCTGCGGGGCGCCAGTGCCCTCCTGCCCTGCCTGGCCGGTGCCCCTCGCACCCTTGGCGGGCCCTGCACTTCTCGCCCGCCCTGAGGGCAGGCGGGGCCCCCAGGCAGGCAGGCAGCCAGGCAGGGGCGGGGCAGTGCCGATAGGGCATGTGGGACTGCAGTTCCTGGTGATCGCAGAGCCCGCCCCTGCTCCTGCTGCTCAGGCGGCTGCACCACCAGCTCCCCGTGCCCTGGAGCCAGGTCCACAGGAAGCTGCAGCCTGGTCACCGAGGAACTCTGGCAGCCGCCCTGAGCACGCTCAACCCCAACCCCACAGACAGCTGTCCCCTCCACCTGAACTGTGCCACATGGCTGCCCTGCCCTCCAGAGTGAGCCGGCACAACAGCTGGGCAGCCGCCCACTGCATCACTGGCACATCACTGGCTTGTGCGCACCTGCCTGCCCCCGGAGTCCAGCGGTGCATTCTCACGCTCTGCGAGCAGGCCGATGTCTTTGCCTCCGCCTGGGCCCTGGCCTGGGCCTCCCGCTGTCCACCCACAGCTCAGGTGGCTCGCGCAGCAGGGAGAACACCGTCAGGGTGGAGTTCTTCCTGGTATGACAAGACAATGGGCTGGTGGAAGTGCCCACGTCGCAATGCTTAGCGAACGCCACAGAAGGTGTGCGGCTGGCGGCCCGCATCGTGGATACGCCCTGCAGTGGGATGAACACAGGCACCTTCCTCGAGGAGATTAACAAAGTTGGAAAAGAGCTGGGGATTGTTCCGACCATCATCTGGGACGAGGAGCTGAATGGGAGAGGATTTGGAGGACTCTGTGGAGTTGGCAAAACTGCTCTCCGCCCCCAGCTCTGGCTGTCCTCAGCCACACCCCAGGCGGAGCCACGCGGACCATCGCCTGGGTGGGCAAAGACGTCCTCTACGACACTGGGGGCCTCAGCATCAAAGGGAAGACCACCGTGCCCAGGATGAAGCGGGGCTGCGAGGGCGCTGCGGCCGTCTTGGGGGCCTTTAGAGCTGCCAGCAAGCAGGGTTTCAGAGACAGCCTCCATGCTTGGCCGAGAACGCAGTGGGACCCAGCGCTAGAGACCCGATGACATCCACCTGCTGTGTACGCAGGAAAGATGGTGGAAAGTAACAACACGGACACCGAGGGCAGGCTGGTGCCGGCAGGCGGCGTGCCCTCCGCCTGCAAGGACCTGGGGGCCGACATCATCCTGGATATGGCCACGCTCACCCGGGCTCAAGAAATTGCCGCAGGGAAGTACCGCACCACGGTGCTCACCAACAGCGCTGAGTGGGAGGCTGCCTGCGTGAAGGCCCGCAGGAAGTGCGGGGACCTGGTGCACCCGCCGGGCTACTGCCCCGAGCCGCGCTTAAGCAGCTCACCTCGGCCTGACATGAAGAAGTCGGTGGCGGACGGAGACAATAGCCCCAGCTCCTGTGCTTGCCTCTTGATCGTCTCACACCTTGGCTTCGACTGGCCTGGGGTCTGGGTCCACTTGGACATCGCCACACCAGTGCTCGCCGGCCAGCAAGCCACAGGCTTCGGTGTGGCCCTCCTGCTTGAGCTCTTTGGCTGTGCATCCGAGGACCATCTGCTGAACCTGGTGTCCCCACTGGGCTGTGAAGGGGATGTACAGGAGAGGCACATGGGGAGGGACTCGAAGAGACACAAGCTCATGTGACAGCCTGGCTGACCTCAGCTCTGCCCCTGTGACACAGGGCTCTTTTATCTCACTTCGCACTGATTATTTTTAAGCAATTGAAGATTATTCCTTAAAAAATTGGTTTTTTATTTTTTTCCAAACAATGACAAACTTTTATTGAGAAAATAGAAGTCTGTTCTTTCATTTGACCATTTCCAAAGAATCAGCCCATCCTGGGTAGCCCACACGGTGGCTATTCAAAGGTACTGAAAACTGAGGTATTTGGTCACTATTACCCAGCAAGAAACTCTTCACAGGGTTAGGCTCCAAGTCCTTTGTGCTGCTCTTGGTCAATCAGTGACTGTAATTTTCATCCAGAAGCCATCCAAGGTAAGCACGGGCTGAGCCGTCCTTAACTCATACTCAGATGAAACAACTTCCGCAGAAAGGCTGGTCCTCTCCAGTAGCCCCTCAGCATCATATTCCAGTACAGGAAAGGGATCAGGTCAGCTTTCATGGGGCACATGGACAGTCGCTCTTTGCTCTGATCAAAGGGGAAGGTTTCTAGCCGCTGAGCATTGTAGTCAGACTCTGCAAGAATCACACAGTTGTAGCCGGTCACCAGTGGACATGATGTGTAGCCATCATACTTCTTCTTTGGTGCTTGATTCTTCATAATCAGAGAAATTGTTCTCTCAAGTATCCCTGACTGGGCAGCTGCTGCAGCAGCAGTCTTTAACATAGGAAGGTTGGCACAGTCCCCAATTCCAGACACATTTGGGTACCTCTTGTGCGGCAGAGTTTCTTTATCCACATCCACCCAGCCAGCATCAGCCACAGGACTGGTCTTGTGGACATCTGGTGGACTCATGGGTGGTGTGACATGAATCATTTCATATGAAATCACGTGGGTCTCCCCAGGTTTATTCAGGTTCTCAAAAACAGCCTCTTGTTTCTCAGCTCAGTCTTAAGTGAGGTTTTGCTTGCAGTTAATGGTGATATTCCTCTCCTGGATAATCTCCTGCAGGGCATCTGCATACTTCTTAACCCCCAGAATTCCTCCAAGAGAAGTGTTAAAAATGATATTGGCCTTGGATTGCTTCCCCACCTTCCTGAAATAGGTTTCTGACAAATACACGATCTTCTGGGGGGCTCCAGCACACTTCACTGGAGTATTTGGGAAGGTAAAGACGGGCACTGCCCTCCTTGAAGTCCTGCAGAGCTTTCCACGTCTTCTCTACAGTCTTCACTGAATAATGAGATCCTATTTTGGGATGCACAAAAGCTTCAGGGAGCCTTTAATCTTCTCATAGTCCAGCTGGATTCCAAGAGCAATAGTAAGATATTTGTAGGAGATCTCCTTGCCATTGTCTGTGTGGATGCAGTCCTTGTCTGGGTTCAGTTCAACCGCTCTAGCTTTGATCCATTCTACACTGGATGGAATCGCACTCTCTGTGGGACTACCAGATGAGGACAACTGTTTGGCACCAGCACCCACCAGCGTCCAGATTGGCTGATAGAAGTGTCTCTTGCTGGGCTCAACAATAGCCACCCACCTTCCTCTTCGTGTGAGCAGACATGGTGATCTCACCGCTGCCCCCACCCAGCACCAGCACTAGCACCTTGTAGTGGTTCCTGGCTGCACAGCTGGCCCCTGCGTGCAGCGGAACGGGGCTGGCCTGCTGAGAGCCCAGCTTGAGGATGCAGGTAAAGAGCTGGGTGTGGGCCGACACCAAGGTGACCAGCAGGGACATCTTCAGGTGGGATCAGGCTAGGCCGAGCTGACTCTGAGCTGTCACTCTGGATCCCTGTAGCTTCCAGTCTTGGAGGCAAGAGCGAGCCTTGTCTGCATAGCACGGGTCAGGCTAACGGAGACCAGTGGGTGCTGTGGGTGGAGCCGCAGAGCGCTGCGGGCCCTTTGCAGCTGCGCTTTTCACCCTAGGCTTTCAACAGAGGTACTGTATTGGCAGTTGCTGGAGAAGATGTTTCAATTGTTGCTTTTGACACTTGATTGAGTAAAGAGTTTTCACTTCATACCTGAGACAGCCCCAAATGTTACAAGTTAATAGACAAAACAGTCATTGGATGCAGTGGTGTTCATGGAGACTGTCTTACCCTGACAAAGATTATTGAAGCAAGACTAAAGATGTATAAACATTCCAATAATAAGGCCATGACTACAGGGGCAATTGCTACAATGCTGTCTATGATCCTGTATTCAAGGCGCTTCTTTCCATACTGTGTTTACAACATTACCAGTGGACTTGATGAAGCAGGAAAGGGAGCTGTGTACAGCTTTGACCCGGCGGAGTCCTACCAGAGAGACTCCTTCAAGGCCAGAGGCTCAGCAAGTGCCATACTGCAGCCCCTGCTCGGTAATCAGGTTGGTTTGAAGAACATGCAGAATGTGGAGCACGTCCCACTCTCCTTGGATAGAGCCACGCGGCTGGTGAAAGACATCTTCACATCTGCAGCCGAGAGGGATGTGTACACGGGGGACACACTCAAGATCTGCATTGTGACCAGAGATGACACTCAGGGGGAGACGGTTCCACTAAGGAAGGACTGAGCTGCGCCTTCGTGCAGAACTGGCTGTTGTTGTACCTTGGCACTGTTGACAAATTTGTTTATTAAAAAGACCTGAAGTGCTAAAAAAAAAAAAAGAAGAAGAAGAAGAAGAAGAAGAAAATTCAAGAATTTTTATGTGTGTTGGCGTCTATCTCTTGAGTGGGAACAGGAATGTAGACATGATAAAGCTGTTTTCACCCCAGTTTGGAATCCAGAGGGTCAGATGAAGTTTAGTTTTTTCCACAAAGTTTGTAGCCTTCATTTATGAAGGGATGTTGATGTTTCTCAAACTGAGGAACCTGAGACTTTTTTATGTGATGAAAGGACATTACATGTTGAAAACTTGATTTTTGCTTTGGTTCTACTACTAATTTACTGGATGACCTTATACAGGTCACAGCATCTTTGAGCATTAGGTTTCCTTTTTGTAAACTCAGAAATTCAGGTATGTGACCTTTCAGATTTCATATATTTTAAAGTTCTGCAGACATAGAATATCTTCCTCCAAAACACATACCCTAATCTACAGGCATCCTTGTTCCATTTATCTATCGCTGTGCATAACAAGCTACCTAATAACTGAGTGACTTAATATATTGCATTGCTTTAGCAGTGGGAGGGGATGTTGATAACTCTGCCAAGTAGTTCTTACTCCCAGTCCCTCAGATGGCAGCAAGGCTGGAGTTGTCTGAAATCCTCTTCACCTCTATTCCTGGTACCTGGAATGAGATTGAACAGCAGGGCCTGAGTCAGTTATCTAGCACTCCCCGCAGCCTCTCCACGTGACTAGCTTGCAATTCCAGGCAGTCTCACCTAGTCAGAGTGTTTGCATGGAGCCTGGCTTCCCCCAGATTCCCTGGTATTCCATGGGACTCATGCAAAAGCTGCAAGGCTTCTTATGACCTACCCTACCTTAGAAGTCATGAAGTGCCTCCACCATAGTCTGCAGGCAAATCCAGATTCCAGAAGGTGGAAGAATAGATGATACACCTCTCAATGAAGGAGTGGCTTGCATGAAAAGGGAAGAAACGAGTGGCCACTTTAAAGGCAAGCTCACAGTCATTCTGTCTAAATAAATCTCATCCCAGGTTGCTAAACCTAAACAAATCTCCCAGACCTAAATATTCAAAGAGGAAGAAAGAGAAAGCAGTTTCCCATTCAGAAATGGATTGAAATTAACATGAATACTTATGTCTTCATTTCATCTCATGCCTGGATGTGAAATCACTTAATCATATTAATTTTCTTTCTAATCATGATTTGGTGAGCCAATTAATTTTTTTCTATCTATTTTCCCATTTAATTCCTCTTCAGGGTTTGAACTCGCTTTGTTTTCTGCTTTCTGATACCTTAATTCTAGCCACATTCAATCTGATTTATAATTTTCTTTCAGTTTTTATTTTATTTTCAATGCTTTCCTTTGTTTCTTTTTACATTGCATTCCCCACCTTTACTTCAAGAATGTCTAATTAGCAGTTGCTTGAGGTGTAACTACTAATTTATATTTTTTTCTTTATAGAGCCAGTGGCAAGCCAGTCCAGTCTTCAGTCTCCTAACAAACTTTCTATTAATATTATCTGTTTATTAGCTTCACTGGCTGTTTTCACTAGGAAGTAGTTTAATGAGACTGGCTGACCTAAGGGCTTGAAAGTGCAATAAAAGTGTGAGGACAATGATCTTTGCTGTTTTTCTTGTTAGAAACATAGATGTATAATTTTCCAGCTTTCTATTTTCCATTTGGGTTAATGACACGAAGATTTCACTTGCAGGTGTCAGCTGGACTGGATTGAGGGATGCCTGGTGAAGCATTGTTTCCGTGCCTGTCTGAGAGCTGAGTGGCCTGGGAGAGGAAGACCCGCCTCAGTGTGGGCGGGCACCATCCAGTCTGCTGTGGGCGTGGCTAGAACCAGCAGGTGGAAGAAAGATGTTCAGAGTGCTGGTTTGCTCTCTCTCTCTTTGTGTCTCACCCTCTCTCTTTCTCTCATCTCTCTGTCTCTGTCTCTCTCTCTCATTTTTAGAGCAGGATTCTTTTCCTCTCCTGTTCTTGGGCATCACACTCCAGGCTCTGTGGCCTTTGCACTGTGGCACCTGCACTGGCAACCCCCAGGGCTCTCAGGTTTTCAGCCCAGACTCGGGGCTGCACTGTTGGCTTCCCTGGTTTTGAGGCTGTTGGACCTAGACTGAGCCTCGCTACCAGCTTTTCTCATCTCCACCTTGCAGAAAGCCTATCTTGGGCCTTTGCCTTTGCAATCATGTGAGCCAGTTTGCCCTAATAAACTCCCTTTTGTATGTTTCCTATTCATTCTGACCCTCTAGAGAGCCCTGAATGTACTGTAGACTCCAGGAGCAGAGGACTCCTGATCCACGGATCAGCAGATACGTAATATAATAAATTTGTACTGTTTTAAGCCAGTGACTCTGTGGTAATATTCGGCAATGGAAAACGAATACAACAACTACCACATTTATGAAACTACATCTTCAAATTTAAATCTTCACAATTTCATTGAGATTTTGGAAATGCTTTTGAATCACTTTTGTAATACTATAACTTCTGTGTCAAAATATTCTGATGGATACATTTTAGCTCTGAAATTCTTTCTGCCTTTTTTCTGAGTGTGTTTTAGAGATCACAATGACTGCACAGACTCCAGTCTCTGCAGGACCAGCCCTACTACTGCAGCAAAAACACTGGGTTCAGAAACCATAATGTGACAATGATTGTGAGGTGCCTTTGAGACAGAATGTGATCAGGAGTGGCACTTTTAAAAAGAATTCATTAATTGATTCTATAATTGGAGATGCTTCTGCAAATAGCTCAGTTTTCTCCCATTAGTGAATGGTATCAGTCAATCTGGATAGTGCTTGGAGGAAGATGATGTGTAATATTAATGAATATTATACATCTATAGCTAAAGCAGCCTTCTGTCATGCCACCAGCATCAGAAAGTGAACCTTAGAAAGCTCATGTCATTATTAGGATCACACATGGGATTTATTGTTCTTTCACATCTTCTCCCCACACCTAGCCTTTTCTTCTGCTCTGCCCCTCTGTCACTTGGCTCTGCAACTTTCCAAGCCTCTCTGCCTCCTAAGTCCCTCTTCCCTCTAGGACTCCTCAGTTTTGCCCAATTACTTCCTCATACGGCTTTCCTTGAGGGTCATCTAGAATAATGACAGTTACCCAAAGCACACACTTTATGCTGTCACCCAAAAGGAACCATTTCTGCTGGGCTGTTATTCTCCAGAGCCCAATAGTACTTAGAAGTGTTCTGTCATGCCCACTGCTAGCCTCTGATGTGAGTCCTGAAGTCTAAACACAGACTAGCCAACACAGAATAGCCTCTCAGACCTTATGCACTCAAATCTCTTTCTAGGAGATGCAAAAGGATGCACAGGTCTCTCTGTGAGGAAGTGGGGAAGGTCCAACAAACTCTAACCCCTGCCACAACTTTGACTTAACTATAGCCATTTAGAAAAGAAATGTATGTGTGTGTGTGGGGGGGGCAATCAGGGTCACCTGGTTTTACACCAGGAAATAAAATGATTTGCAATTTCAGGACCTTTAAAGAATTATTAGTCTATGGCCAAGCACGGTAGCTCACACCTGTAATCCTAGCACTCTGGGAGGCCAAGAAGGGAGGACTGCTTGAGGTCAGATGTTCTAGATCAGCCTGAACAAGAACAAGACCCTATCTCTACAAAAAAATAGAAAGATTAGCTAGGTATGTTGGCACACACCTTTAGTCCCAACTACTTGGGAGGCTGAGGCAGGTGGATGGCTTAAGCCCAGGAGTTGGAGGCAGTTAGCTATAATGATGCCACTGCACTCCAGCCTGGTTAACAGAGCAAAACTCTGTCCACAAAAAAAAAAAGAAAGAGGGGGGGAAGAAAGGAAGGAAGGAAAGAAGAAAGAAAAGAAAGAGAAAGAAAGAAAGAAAGAAAGAAAGAAAGAAAGAAAGAAAGAAAGAAAGAAAGAAAAGAGAGAGAGAGAAAGAAAGAGAAGGAAGGAAGGAAGGAAGGAAGGGAGGGAGGGAGGGAGGGAGGAAAGAAAAAGAAAGAAAGAATTAGTCTATGGTTGCAAATGAAATAATTTCTCTTTGGTCATTAAATTGTAATATCTTCATTTCAAATGCAACTTATAAAATAGGGCAAACCCTACATGAATAGGCTTCTATTCTGCCTTTTGAAGTCAAACTCCCTGTCTTGTCTCTCTGCTAGCCACCCTGCCTATTCTAGAGCACCTGCCACACCACTGCCCAGATCATCTTCACAACAAACAAATCTCAAAACGCTGTTGATGCCATATGGTCTGGTGTGCTAGGCAAAATAATGGCCCCCCAATGATGTCCATTTCCTGATCCCCAGAATCTGTAAATGTGTTATAAGGCAAAGAGGAATTAAGGTTGCAGGTGGAATTAATGTTGCTATTAGCCTACTTTAAGTCAGAGGGTTCACCTATATTACCCGGGTGGGCCCACTTAGGTCACAAGCACTCTTAAAGGTAGAAGAGAAGGAGATGTGATGCATAATGTGATTGCTTTCAAGACAGAAGTGGACCATGAATGGGTGGTTTCTAGAAGCCAGAAAAAGCAAGGATGAGGATTCTCCCTTAAAGTATCCAAAAAGGAGCATAGTCCAACTGATAACATTGATCTTAGCCCAGTGGGGAGTGCCAGATTGATCTGCAGAACTGTAGGATACAGCATTTCCTGACCTTCTTGGGAGTGTTATTTCCTCCCTTTTCTGAGCTCCCCAGCGCAGCATTTGTTTACATGCCTGTGTCTGGGGTGAGATTGTGCCAATCATGAGAGTGAGGTTTCTGTGATCTCTCTCCCAGTATGCAAACTCACGAAAGTCAGTCTTCTGAAAATATTTAAGGATTTGTCACATTTGAGGTATAAACAGCTGCCGTATTGTATGAAATCTTAAAAGAAATCGTTCACTGTGTGCAGAGCACATTGCAGCTATGTTTACGGGAGATGATATTCCTAGCACTAAATGGCCTGGTTTTGAATGATCTCATAAATGCAGCCTCGACAGAGCAATGCTTAAAGACAAACACTATCTTTTATTTCTTGCAAAATAATTTTTA